AATCGTGTTTTATATTCAACTAAAGAATGTTGGGCACATGCATTCACAAAGCGCAAATTTTTAGCAAATACACATTCGTCACAACGTATCAAAAGTATAAATCGTGTTATAAAGTTAGAAGCAAACTCAGAAAATTCTTTATGTCAACTTCAGGCTGGAATAGATTTGCGACTTAAAGATGAGATTAAGTATGCAAAGTTGCAAGAATTTAGAAACATGAACCCCACCACTAGACTTCTGCATGTTTCTAATACAATTTTTAAGGAAATTGATAATATGTGTATAAAATATCTTATACTAAATTCGTTAGCTTTACAACAGAAACAAATGTTAGAAAGCTTTCTATATAGGTCTTTACTACGTGATAATGAGCTTAATGTTAATACTAGTCAGCAATTAGATCATAAAGTGGGGTTTATAGAAGATAACTATGAGGAGCCATAGATCTTATTAAATATGGCTTTAGAGAATTGTGCCAATAGTGAAGTGATTGAAGTCTGGGAGGTTAAGCATATCCAAAGTACTACAAACCATTCACAATTTGTTATCTTACTTGATGATAGTGCACATTATTGTATATGTTTATATTTGATATATGCTGGATTTGTCTGTTGACATTTTTTTTCCGTAATGATTCAATCAAAAAATACACTTTTTAATATAAAGTTAATACCTTCTCGTTGGTATTCTAACGAAAGTATTACTTAATTTGATAGTGATCAGGAATTATCTATCCAGCTAGTACAAAGTAAAAGTAAATCACTCCCAACTATAACATTTGAAGTATTAGAAAGGATTCGCAGACAAGAAGTTAATAGTAAAATTGCTATAAAATTAGATTCAAAAAAAGTTTCTTATAGTCATGGTCTAGAAATTTGTAAAAAAGCATTAAATATCACGATTATGAATGGTACAAATAAGGTTTTAGAGGACCTTCTGCAATGTTTTATTGACGAACAAGTTTCAGCACAAAGTAGTGACATTGCTTCAAATTTATCTGAACAAGGCATAGGTCAGGAAATTAATAGTCTTATAATTTCAAACCCTTCTCAACATAAAG